GCTCGGCCTCGGAAGAAGAGCGAGCAACTCGGCTGGCGGAGCCCCAGGAGCAGGTATTGCGACGGCCAAGCTGCCTGTCTGTGTCTGTGCAGTAGAAAGGACATAGCAGGAGGAAGTGTTTAATTTTGTTCTTAAAAATCCCATCGAGGCTGGGATGCAGTGAAGCAATCTCCTCCTTCTGCCAGCTAAAGGGGAAAAATGCTCAGCTGTGAAATAAGTGCATGTTTGATGTAATGTTAATTTTCTTCGAGATAGCCATTCTTGGTGCTGATGCTCTGTGCTTGCTTCTGGGATCCCAGAGTATGAATGAAGGTGCAGACAATACTAGGGATCTGGGAAGAACAGAGACCCCCGTTTGGTATGAGAGCTCAGGCATAACTAAATCTGTCGCAGGCTTCTGTGGGATATTGTCCCCCTGTACCCTGTCTGTAGGAGTGAGCTGTTTTGACTGTTGTGGTTGCAGATGATTAAGCCATGGCCTTTCTTATTATGCAGATATACAATGCGAGATGCTACAGTGCTTACATGTGCTACCGTAATACAACAAAGCATTAATAAAATAGCTTATCTAGTGTCTCAAATCAAGCTAGTAGGAGAGCCAAGAAGTGAACCCAGAATTCAAAGGCCAAGTTGTCAGCGCTCTAGACAGAGCTATTGAGCTTAATTTTTATTTGCCTCTATAAAACAAGAATGATGTTTTCATTTGAGTCAGCTTCTGCACACTTGCACTGTATTTTTTTAAAGAATTTCAAATCAAGCAGTGTCTCTTGAGTTCAATCACTAGACTGCTTGATCACTGACTTTGGGATCTACTGACACAGTGGGATGTAGAGGAGGGGTAGGTGGAGGCAGTTCAAGTTGCTTGCTTCAAGGCAAGATCGGTTATCTTGCCTTGAAGTCTGATTTATTTTTTCACTGTTCTCCTCCAGCTAAAGGCAGTCCATGAGCAGCTAGCTGCATTGTCACAAGCGCCAGTGAACAAACCAAAGAAAAAAAAAGAGAAGAAGGAAAAAGAGAAGAAAAAGAAAGATAAAGAGAAGGAAAAAGAAAAGCACAAAGTAAAAGCTGAGGAGGAGAAGAAACCCAAGGTGGCTCAACCACCAAAACAAACCCAACAGAAGAAGGCCCCAGCTAAGAAAGCAAACAGCACAACCACAGCTAACAGGTGAGAGCCTGCCTTCTGCAAGTTGCCTTAAGGGGAATGCCAAGAGCTTCCAGCCTGTTCCAGCCCAGTTCTTCTGTCCCTCCTGTCCCCATTGAATTCCTGGTGAAGCTCAGTTGTCAGAGCAGTTAATTTGCTGTTGAATAGGGTCCCCATTCCCAGACAACTCCAGGGAGTCTTTAAGTTAGAGCTGGCACTGGAACCATCATATTTCCACTGTCCAACTCTCCCAGAATCCCTGCCTGATCACTCTCAGATAAGGTTTTGCTTTTTGCCTTTTGCACAGCCAGCAAGAACGTGCCATTTCATAGCTGCCCTCCTGCTGCTAGATGGGCTTGTTGTCATGCCTCACAGGGCTAAAATATAATAGGAGTAAAACAGCTGATCTCAGATTTCTGAACTTTTTCAGAAGTTGTGGTGCTGTTCAAGCCATCTGGCTAAGGGTTCAAAGCCAAGAGCATTGGGATGTTTGTTACAAGGGGGTTAGAAAAAAAAAAGAGTTCATTGCTTCTATATACCCATGAATGTTTCCATGCTTGCCAACCCCCCCAGGCAGCCCAAGAAGGGAGGCAAACAGGCATCTGCAACTTACGATTCAGACGAGGAGGAGGAAGGTCTGCCCATGACCTACGATGAGAAACGACAACTCAGCTTGGACATCAACCGCCTGCCCGGGGAGAAGCTGGGCAGGGTGGTGCACATCATCCAGTCGCGGGAACCTTCCCTCAGAGACTCCAATCCCGACGAGATAGAAATAGATTTTGAAACATTGAAGCCCACAACTTTGCGAGAACTGGAGAGATATGTGAAATCTTGTTTACAGAAAAAACAAAGGAAACCATTTTGTAAGTTACCTGCTGGGGCACGCGTTCCCCCACCAGCTCTTGGGCTCAGCTCTGGAGTCAGGGCATGTGTGTTGGGATTCTCTTACCAGCTGTTGGGTATGTGATGACAGGGATTTTTTAGAGATTCTTTTCTTCCAAGAAGAGGTACAGAAACTTTCTATTTTTTTCTGTTCTTTCTTCCCATGATGTCATGCCATGGAGACCTGGAGGACTATTGTGTTCCTCTGCAAGACCCGTGTGATACCTTTATTACTAATCTAGAAGGCACTATAAAGGTTTCAGTCTCATCGTGTTAGGTGCACACATCTGGTAGGATCAGTTTCTTATCCTGAACAGTTTAGCATCTAATTAGGAAGGAAACAAAAAGGACGGTTGGGATCCAAACCAGCAAGGGAATAACTTGCACAAAGTTACCTGGGCAACCTGTGGATTCTGGGTGTAAGTGTCCGAGTTGGATATTCACCCCAAAACTGATCTTCCTAGATGGCCTGATCACCATACTGCCCTCAGTCTCTATCAGATCAGAGGATTAAAGTTAATGTGCTGCCGAGTGTACTGTTCAGTATGGGACAGATGGCGCTCTGTGCCTCATCCACAGAGTGAATTGTTGCAGTCCCTTGAGAGTTTAGCTCCAGCTGAACGGCAGTAGGGTCACTTACCTGAAGTGGTCCTGGCTCTGTCCGTCTGCTTGTTAGCTAAGAGGGAGTTGTCCTATTGAGTATGACACAATAGCTACTCACAACTCTTGCAGAGCACCTCCATTTCCTCACCACAGGACTTTCAGGTAGGCCTAAGCAAAGCTCAGACTTTGATGCTCTTTGCCTTTTAATACACTGCTTTGCTCTGGGTCCTTCACTGTTGGAATAGCTCAGGAAAAGATTTTCCAGAATGGTTAGGAACAAGATACATCCTTTTGTTTTGGAACCAAAGCGTAGAGTAACGCAGATAACCTCAGATGTCTGTCCGTCTGCTCCTCTGAGACTGGTACACCCTGGGCTGGCAGGCTGACATGCCTGACCCCAGCCGGACTCTCCTGTCTGCTCTCTATTGCAATGCTTAGTGTTCAGGGGTGCACCCTCTTGGGACTGTGCTTTCCAGATTTTTTTTTTTTTTTTAAATCATCACTTTTAAAAGAGCGCACAGAACTGTAGGTATTTCCTTGCTGGACCAGGCAAAATGTCTGGCCCCTGTCTTGTGCTTCTGATACTGGCCAACACCTGTGTTCAATTACTCCTCTTTTGGAGGGATATTTCTTCTGCTCAGAAGTATGAGTATTGCTGGTACTTCTCACCATTTCCATCCTAACTGATGCAGCTACATTCGTGTTGTCTGCCAGCCTTTGCCTCAGTTGGTTTTTAATTTGTCTGGTTTTTTTATATTTAAAGCAACATAAACCACGGTAGATTCTTGCATGAGGTTCTTAAGTTATAATGGCAGATGCTTACTTCTGACAACCTTTAATGGGACACTTTATTTTACAGGGCAGAAAACCCATGTAACAATTCTGTAATTACAAATGTGTAACTATTGACCATATAACTGGCTGGTAAGTAACCTGTAACTACAAAGTTATTACATGGATATTTCTATCTTCTAAAACACTTTCCAGAAGATCTCTCTTAAAAAGTGCATGTTACAGGATGATGGTGATTGGATGATCTAGACAACTTCATGTGTTGTCCCCTATCTAGGATGTGTAGTTGCTGTGTGGTCACGTGATCTTAGCAGTGTCACTGCAGAGTGGCTGCACAGATTTACATGCCCTGTAAAATAGTGATGTCCGCTCTCTTTTGCCTGCAACCGTGCGGTTTCAGAAATTGTGCGTTCCTCCTCCACAGCTGCAAGTGGAAAAAAGCAAGCAGCAAAGTCAAAAGAAGAGTTAGCTCAGGAAAAGAAGAAAGAACTAGAAAAACGGTTACAAGATGTCAGTGGGCAGCTAAACAACAACAAGAAACCTGCAAAGAAAGGTAATGGCTTTGGTTTTACTGTGCTAACAATGCCCAAAAAGTTGTGTATGTAGATAGACTTCCTCACTGAGGCAAAACTGCTGCCTTCTTGTGGCCTTGGGTTTCTCTCTGTGACAGCTACCCCAGGTGGTCACTAGTGTCGGGGCACAGCGAGTTACTGCTGGGCACTGAGCTTCTGCGTGGGGCTGCTTTGGTCCCTCTCCAGGTGGAAGCTCTCCTGGGTTGTAAATGTGAGGTGTCTTGGAGGCAATTAATCCTTCAGAGGGAGGAGGATCATCTGCTCTGGTTAGCCTGTGCAGGACTCTGCATACAGACCAGTAGCCCCAGAGCATCTAATGGATGGTTTTTCTCCATTGTGGGATTAAAAAAGCCGAAGCCCCCACGTAGTGCAATAGTGTGAGAAAATGGTACAAAAGGTTCTTCCAGTGCGAACTAAGCTTCTTCCAGCTTCGCACAAGTCAAACAGGGCTTTCTTGGGTTCAGAGGTTGCACTGAAGCATGCAAGGCTGTGGACACAGCTCCCCAGGTGCTGTGCTCTCCGGTGCGGATCCCAAACTTTCGTGGTCACCTGCAGCCTGAGAAACCTTGACATCCACTGACGGGACAGGCCTTGTTGCAGCAAGCAAAGGCTGCAGGTAAATAAGCTGCCCACACAAAACGAAGTTGTGAACAAAGCCACAGAGGACGAAGGCTGTGGGCAGACTTTATCTAGTTCAGTTCCTTGCAAAAGTAACCACATCGTTGCCTTCTTCCCCGCAGAGAAATCTGGCTCAGCTCCCTCCGGAGGCCCTTCCCGGCTCAGCAGCAGCAGCTCCTCCGAGTCCGGGAGCAGCAGCTCCAGCGGCTCCAGCTCGGACAGCAGCGATTCGGAATGAGTTACGGACACTTACACAAAAAACACAAAATGGACATCACCCTCACTGATGTTCTGCAGTGTTCCTTTCTCTCCTTAATATACTGCTCTTGTTCCACGGTGGTGGTCAGGTTTTTTTTTCCTCTCTCTTTCTCTGACTTTTTTATTTTATTTTTTAATTCAGTGTTATAAAAGGTATCTTCCATTTTTTGGGGGGCGCTCTTTTCATAGGTCAAAGATCTTTGCGTGCGTGTGTGTGTGTGACTAGACTTTATGACAAATAGTTCCCTTTGCATAAAGTCTCTAAAATACATTTTAACTGAAGAAGATTGGTTGAAAATGGAAGAACTTTGAACTCTTAGCAGGAGATAAATAGAAAGTTCTGCAAGGTTTGTAGTACATTTCCCTCCCGCCCCTTCCCTCTTCCCAGAATGTTCTCTTTTAATAAGCCTGCCTGGCTCACACAAGGTAAAAAAAACCTTTTTTTAAAGAAATCTCTGTAAAATGGTACTGTATCTGAAAGATGTTAGCTTTTGAACTAGTTGGTGTATTTGTTATTAGCACTAGTATTCTTAATCTCGAAGTCTACAGTGTGATGAAAATGTCAGATGCTATCATCTTTTTACATAAAAACAAAAAAATTCTCATGTACTGTGGATTGCTAACATGCTTTTTTTTTTAATCTTGGTAGAGGCATAGGCACCTGTTCAGGAAGGTATTTAAGCATGAATTTAACTTTAAGCACATGAGCAATGTAAGTGGTTGCATTTCTTGTTTTTTCCACTCCAAAATTTTCATTTTTCTTGGGGATATGTTGGGAAGAAGGAAGCAAGGGACACTCAAGTTTCTTGGGAATGTTATTTTTAACATCAAATAGATAATTTCTAGGAAATGGACGCTCTCTGTAAAAGTTTTCATTTAATTGAGAAGTTTTTGGCTGAAAGTTCTCGGCTGGACCTCAGAGTGATCCCTGCAGAGTGACAAGGCAAGTCATGTGCTCCTTATTAGACACATGCTTAAGTACTTTCTCCGTGACAAGCACCTCGGTCTGGGCTTAAAATAAAGGAGCACTGGAGCTCCAGCTGAGGCTGAGCTGGCAGGGGAATCGGAGAGGGACGTTGTGTGTGTTGGGTTTTGGTTTTCTTTTCTTTTCCCCTCCTTATAGTTTCAGTAGTGAGCTCCTAGAAAGGGAATGCTACTTCTGTGTTGTGCAGGGTGCGAGTTTCCAGATGCTGAAATGCTTACCTCAATAAAAAGAAAAAAGAGGGGAGGGAAAAAAAAAGTCATTTTTTTAAGGCTTGCAGTTTTTTTAGTCCAGCCTAATGTTTTGACCTGCATTGCTGCAATACACTCTGTTTTCACTGTCCCTAATTTCTTGTATATACAAGTACTTTATTTATTAAACACCATTGGTCATTTGAAACTTACTAAAAAAATAACAAAAGCAAAGCTGCATTATGCAGACCAGCAGAAATGCAGACTTTTAAGGTGGTTTGAACCAGATTAAAAAAAACGACGACAACAAAAACAAATAAAAATCTGAGACTTTATTTAACTCCAGTGGACTTTATACCTACAGGTGCTACAGTCCAGTCTATCGTGTGTCTGGTGCTCTGTCATGTTTGGTGTGTTCATTGTTGGTTTGTTTTCTCTCTTCTTTACCTTTTCACCCCAGCCCCCTTTTTTCCTGTTTTGTACAGATTTTGGAGACGTACAGCTAGATACAATTTCTTGACGCAGCACATTATTCTTTTCTCTGAAATATTTCCAGGGATCTTTTTACCCGTCTCTTTTTTTTTTTTTTTTTTTCACAGAACCGTGGGCTTTTTTTTTTATAATCCAATTTTAGGAAAATT